ACGCCGATGAAGCCTCTCGGGATCACGAAGGACAACCCCAGTGATCTCGTTGCCGAACTCATCCTCCTCGGTTGTGATCAAGTGACTGAGCTCCTCGTGCTCCGTTGCCTTCAGGCCGAATGTTTGCTCGAACTCCGACATGGAGAAGAAGATGAAGTACGTTTCCACCCTGGTGCCCGTGCGCTTGACTTTGTCCAACTCCTCCTCCCGGAAGGACCTTATCATGTCCGGGTTCAGGTGGTAATTCCTGGCCTTCCCGAACTCATCTGCAAACTGTGGCTCTCTCTTCCTGCGTGCAGAAAGATCTGTCAAGGTCGCTTGCGGATAGCTCTTCAAACCTGTCCGGGAGCAGGCTTGGCAGAACATGTTGTGAGGCAACCTCACTTTGAAATCGTCCACCGTGCAGATCTTCCAGCTTGCCCAAAGCGGTCCTGCCGGCCGTATGGTCATCGTCATAGCCTGACATGGGTTTGGCTTAGGCTTAGGGCTTAGGGCTTAGGGCTTAGGGCCTAGGGCCTAGGGCCTAGGGCCTAGGCCTTAGGGCCTATAAGGGCTAGAGTCAGAGCCGAGTCCTACAGTCCTAGAGCCTAGAGGCTTAGAGTCCTAGAGTCGGGTCTACACCGCATTCTGGAGGCCTGGGCTAGACTCTAGACCCTCGCCGTAGGATCCGACTGAAGATTTAGGCGGAATTGAGGCCAAAGGCCAAAGGAAAAAGCACATCCCTTCTCCTTGAATATACCTGGACCTAGACTCTGGACTCTACTCTAGACTCTACACTAATTTCCTCGTGACTCGCCTGGACTACGACCTGCAACTAACATAACTAACACAACTCCACAAAGACCTAGGACCTAGACTCTAGACTCTAGACCTTGGGCCTAGGGATCTACAAAAGTAGCGATAGGCTCTATAGAATGAATGTAGAATGGAAGTATAGAGTATAGAATATAGAAAATAGAATTGGGGCGGGTGTGGACCCGGACTCGAAGCGGCCCGGCCTGAGCCGCAGATGCCTGGCCCTGCCCGGCAATCTGCTGACTTTGCTGCTCGCAAACCAAAGAGAGCTTGGCAAAGGAAAGAATCACTGCTCGTTCCTCGCAGAGATCGCACACCAATGTTTCACAGTGATGTGTGATGAGGCCTTGCAACTTCAGCAGCTGCACTTGCGAGAAAGACGGACCGACAACTTCATTGCCATGCTGGTCCACCAGTTTGAACGACAGCTGCGGCTTCTTGTCACCGCCACTGGTCTGAGGCTTCTTGTCCTTCGCCTTCGGCAATTTCACAGGGAGCTCCTCCTGGTCCTTGTCCTTCTTGTTCCTGTCCTTCTTGTCCTTCTTGTCCTTCTTCGCCTTCTTTTCAGGCGGCTGCTGCACGGTGGCGGCATCATGATCGCTGTCACTTTCCAACTGAGCCAGCATTTCTGAGATGTCGCTGGGAGAGCCCCCCGACAACTCATCCTCCTCGAACGGGTCCGCCATGTCCCGTCACAGAGGACAAGAGTCACAAGAGTGACAAGACTTGACTAGTCTCGACTGGCGGCTGGCGAGCCTCCACAGAACCAGGCAAAGTTTAAATTTTGCAGTGTCACGCGCCAATCTGGACAGCTCCTGCCTCCGAACTCTTTGTCCGATTGCTGCAAATCGTGACAGAGACAACACACTCTGGACTCTGGACTCTCTGGCCAAGCAAGGCATGTCGAATGCAAGTTCGGTTCAACACTGAGCTGCTAGGCCGCTAAGCCTCTAAGCTGCTAAGCTGCTAAGCAGGGAATAGTAATACTGTTATTCCTCCAGACCAGCATAACGGCAGCTTGAATCAATGATTCAGCTCCTCATTCATGCAGTGCTGCCGCGAGAGTCACGAGAGCCATGGGGCCATGAGCATCAAAGCCGAATTGTGAATCTGCTATGATTGCCAATCAATGCGCACAAACAGAGACCAGCTTCCCAGCCACACCCACGAGCACTTGTCACTTGTCACATGTCAGCCGACTGCATGAAAACGCACAATCTCTGCCTGACTCAACCCACGTGCCATGTGTGCAAATTCTGGGAACCTAGAATACCTAGAATCGAGAAAGAAAAAGGGCCTGGCCTGGGCCCAGGGCTAAGGCCTAGGGCCTAGGGCTAAGTTGTGACTACTGCCATGACTCGTGGAATAAGTCTGAGGATGACGACGCTGGCTGAGGCGAAGAAGCGCTGCCACTGGGCCACTGATCACTGATGCACGGCTGATGATGATGCTGCTGCTGGCACTGCTGGCACAGAAGCCGTACAGATGATTGACCCTGAACTAGTAACCAATAACTAGATTTGTCATCTCGTTCGCTGAGCTAGCAGCTAGGTCCTGGTTACCGGGTGTATTATAAAAGCATAGGGCATACGGTTCGGTATATCGGCGAGTCTAACCAAAGACGTAGAGTCTTAGGTCTCAGGTGTGAAGACGATATATAATATAGTACTAACGGCTACCCGGCTACCGAACAGGGTGTATGCGGTAGCTTTCAATGCGATCTTATCAAGAATCAAGAAGCACCTAGCCCGTAGCTCAGGGTCTGGCCTGGTAAGACAGGGGTACAGTCCAGGTCAGTGATCACTGTTTATGTTTGTTGACGAAGACTTCTCTTTTTGGTTGCTTTAGTTTAGGAGTTTACTTTAGTTAACTTTACTTAGTTCACAACCCAACAACTCTCCACCCCACATCCCACGTCTCCCCGCACCCCTCCCCCCAGCACCAATCTTTGCTTCAAGAATGCATCACTGCAGCCACTGCAACAAGAAAAATAATCGGAAACTGCGTGCAACACAAATGATTGCTATACTTTACTATACTATATTCTATCGGATCGTATGCATAACATCAGACATAAGGAAAGGGTCAAGGCAAAGCATGCCCTGAAACACCAATCTTTCATTCCTTTGCAACTCTGTTTGCGCTGTAACGCAGGACCGAAACAACTAGTATCCACAATGACTCTAGCACTCTAGGTCTTCTAGATTCTAGGACCCTTGGACTCTAGGTCTAGGTCTAGGACGCTGGAACCGAGGACCCAGAATACACTGAATACACTGGTCACTAGTAACTACTGGAGTGTGATTACTGGAGTGTGATCTAGTGACCTGGGGACCAGGACCTAGACTCCTAGACCTAGTGACCTAGTGACCTACTGACGCCTTTTGCGATCTTAATGGGATTCGTGACTTAGTGACTTAGTGACTTAGTGATAACCGGTACTTGTGCAAAGGCTGCAAAGGTCCAAGTTTACAGCAAAGATTCAGCAGTATACTCTCAGTATACTACCTACTGTCTGGAATCTGGAATAGTCCTGTATATAGAATATAGAATATTGAATAGAGTAGAGTGAATAGAGTATAAGCCGTAAGCCATAGTAACCATAGTGCCATAGTATATAGAGAAAAGTGAAAAGTGATAAAGTCAAGTCGCATGCAGCATCTGCGCCACGCAGGCTGGCACATGAAGGTCAGACTGAAGATTCAAGAATGAACTGAGAATAATTGAAAATTCGCAGCCACGCGCTACGGCTACGGCTACACGGCACGGCAAGGCTGTCGCAAGCGTTCTGGACTGAAGTTACTGAAGCACTGAAGTCTGAAGTTCAGACACTCAGACAGGGACTCATGTGTCATGCGACCCGCATACAGAGTCTGAGTCTAAGTCTACGCAACAAGACCGCTTGCAACAAAACCAAAAATTGCCCGATTCTGTACTCTGCAGCCCCTTGTGTCCGTCTGAGCCCAGGCCCTGCCGATAGTTACTAGCCCTCATCTCTCTAGACTCTAGACTCTAGA